CTTACCAAAAAAGAAGTGATTACTGATTTGAAAACTGAACGTTTCAGTCTTTCATCTATATATGTATATTATTTTTTGGAAGTTGCATCGTACCACTACTGATCTTTAGAATTTTAAGGCAGCTCCTCCTTCAACTTCCTTGATGCGTTTGATTTCAACTCACAGCTCACTGATGTGAGAACTTTTTCCGTAAATCACGATCTCATTTCCAATTTTTCTACTTATTTGTTTTTCAGGATGAAAGAGATCTTATGTTCTCAACTCCATGAATATTGTCAAGAGAAGCTTTTACCGCGGATAATCACTGCTTATCGTGAAGAGAGTACGGTTTGGTTCAGATTTACATTTATTTTTTTTACATTTTAGGATTCTTTCTGTAAACTCGATTCACATTTCAGAGTTTGACCCCACATTGATTCCTGAAATGGGGAAAATGGGCCTCCTCGGAGCGCCTTACCAGGTCAGTTCCATTAAAAACAAGTTTGGCTTTATTCAATATATTTTATTTTGTAGGGCTACGGATGCGCTGGAACGTCAACAGTAGGCTATGGACTGATTGCACGTGAAATAGAACGAGTAGATTCGGGATATCGATCTACGATGAGCGTTCAGACTAGTCTTGTTATTGGACCAATCTATAATTATGGTTCGTGTTTTGTTTTCTAGAGTAGAGAATGGGCCCGTCCCTTTTCGTGCCGCTTCGCGGATACGCTTGACTTGTGTAAGACGACCACAATCTATCTTGTATGTAAGGCGCTGGAACCTGAACGGGCTAACGTTTAGCACTTTCTCGGTCAGGCTCGTAACTGGTTGAATGATGGATATCCTTTGTCGTGGCTTCGTTGGCGATGGCCCGATAAGGGATACGATCCCAGTTCAGACAGTGTGAAGGCATACCCCGAAGTTGTATATTGTGGAAAATATCGTTCATTTACGAACCTAACGACTTTTTAAAGAACACAAAAGTAAAAAAAGATAATGGAGACTAAGTAAGGACCTGCTAGGCAGCTTCTGTGAACGAGTTCCCCGTACCTGCTCCTTTTATGCCAGGGAAGCGATACCTCACCAGTTTACTTGTACAAGGAAGGACAGCCCAGAAATTGCTTGAGCGCGGGGAATGTCTTCGAGGAGTTCGGCCTAAATGTTTTCTCATTGTATCCTTTTTTGTGACTGAGTGATTGGAAAAGGATGGCGTGGTACTCGGGACGAGACTTCGACAGATTTCTGCAATTACCAATCTCCATGATGCGGGCTGGGCGTATTTGCTCTAACTACTTTTGGTCGAAGTTTCGGTGGTGCTTATACATATTATATGACTGTCAACATTTTTCACTTTTTTATCTTCCTCGTGAGCCCACTAGATATTTGGCCTATTCCTAAGTAGAGTTGTTGACCAGCTTAACTTCAAACTTCCCATCCCGTTCGCCTAGCGCTGCCTACCCCTTTTCTCCACATCATGGTCAAAGTGACCTTTGTGTGAACGTAGAGGTCGTGGAGTTTATTCTTCCTAGAATCCTCTTCTGGACTCGCTTAAACTGCCGGGGGCGGGGCATTTTCTTGCACTCTCGCTGTTTCACCAGTTCCGGTACAAGCGTGACTGTTGAAACTTGTGAACTCTAGTGAAGCTGGAGCAAGCTTGTGGAGCCACCATGGTAGAACCTCTCAACTCTAGCAAACTCACGGAAGTGGCTCTCTGGATGGGTCGACACGTAGATTTGGAAGTGACAAAAATCTGCAGAATGCCAACTCCCCCCCCCCTCCTCCTTTTACCCGCCTCGTACGACGCCACTATACCCCCTCGCTTGTTACTTTACCTTTTCACATGCCAGTGCGCGAATTTCGATTTGGTTGACTTTAAGAGTTACAAACTGTACCTAATACAATTATAATGTTGTTGAATTAAAGTGTTTGTAAAGTATTTAATACACGCGTTTTATAGGAATGAGAACAGAAGAAGACACAAATTACATCCAAGAGGATTTTTGGCCATAAGTAGAAGAGACTTAATTGGCTTATGTTTTCGGATGACCACGTAGGCAATCCATGGATTTCATAACCAGCCGGCAATTTGCGACAATCAACAAAAAGCCGAAGGCTGGGCGAGATATTCTGTATGATCCAGCGGTTAGCTGAAAATGATGCCTTGAGGAGAATCTCTGGATAACTGCATTGCCACGCCACCAGAGACGGTTGTTGTAAAGGATTAAAGAATAAAGTCTCCTCCCTTGATCAATCTTTTATCGGAATGCCCGGCACTTCATCTTACTTTCATATTACAAATAGGAGTTAGATGGCATATTGAATGCGAATGTGGCCATAATTTCAATGACTTTGGAGGGGGGGTAGCCGATGTAGAAGTCAGTGTTTTCATCCTCCCAGACCAACCTTGTACCAGTCCCCGCAGGGTGGAAGGCTTGATTGGCCTTGGCGGGAGCCGATCCGGAGATTCTGACTCCGCAGACACTCGCGTGGTAAGCAGCTATTGTTGCATATCACCACTTCCGCCTCCAGACATTGTTTGTAATTATTATGAATACAATATTATCAACCATTTAGCCAATAACAGTGGCAAAATCTCAGTCAGGTCTAGCCTAGTGACGATACGAGGAGATTAGAGCTCAACAGTGGAGTGGGAGGCATTTGCCTATTTTATTAGGACAATGTATTTTGAGGCAGTCCTCCAGAGGTTGCGCATACTTAACTTTCTTAATTAATTATAAGCGTCTCAACAGCTCGGCCTTTTTCACCATCTCAGTAAAGTTTTACGAAATGCGTACAGAGCAGATTTCATGGAGCAAGGGCCTCCTATAAGCGATGTTACTACGAACAATTGAATCTTTGCCCCCGCATTTACCTATCGTTTACTTATTCGCTTGGTGGGGACACCATTTGGTAGCGAGAACCAAGACACAGGCACCACCCCGAAGACACCAGATTAGTTACTTTGTACAAATGGGCTCAATTGCTATTCATGTTCTCCAACCTTCACAAGTCTTTACGGGATCTCGCCAGCATGAGAATGATAGTATACAGGCTGGAATGAGCAAAAAAATAGCATGGATAGCTTGCAAAAATGCCCATTCCCAGCCAAATGGCCTACAAGTCTTATAATAGATTCCTCAGTTATTGTATGTAAGGTTTACCCTTAAACGGATCGACTAAGATTCTTCTGGTAGCGTTATTGAAATACGTTTCGGATCTGTTGAAAATATCGAAGCTTTGCAGATGGGATGAGAAAACGAAAACTTACCGTCTTTCTGGCACGAAAACATGGATCAGTAATAGCCCTGTAGCAGATGTATTTATAGTCTGGGCCAGAAGTGATAAACATAACAATGACATCAAGGTAGGTGGTTCAGTTACGCTTTTTTTCAAGGTTTAATCGAATGAACTATTTCTATAGAAGCCAATCTCTTCAGTTCTAAAACAGTGAAAATTCTAGGGATTTATACTTGAAAAAGGAATGGACGGACTAACAGCACCTAAAATTGGTGGAAAACTTTCACTTCGAGCGTCTATAACTGGACAGATAGCTATGGATGAAGTTCCCGTACCGGAGGTTAATTTACTTCCAAATGTTGAGTAATTTTGCAACTCAATATTTTTGATGTTTTCGTTTGTCGTTATAAGTATCCCTCTTAATATCATTTTCTGCTAAGACAAAAGGTTTGAGTGGACCATTTGGTTGTTTGAACAATGCTCGTTTTGGAATCGCATTCGGTACATTGGGTGCCGCAGAGTCATGCTTTCATCTAGCTCGAGAGTACGCTTTGAACAGGTTGGTAGCCAAGCGTCTATTTTTTTTCTTTCAGTCAAATCTCTCCAGTTACATTCTAGATTTAAATTGTACACTCACTTCCAAGGACCATTCCCTCCCATGTGCGAGGTGAATGGGTCCACAGCTGCAGTAGCGTGCTGCTTTTTCCGCTCGAAAGTGCACAGGAAGCGATCTCCTTGTTGCCGTCTTTCGTACTCCTCCCGCGCCATCCTCTCTAGTTGCGACAATACCAAGATCCCGGACGAAATCGGCGTTGAGGAACAGTCAGAAGTGAGAGGACGCAGACAAGTAGCGTTTGGCTATAGTTAGGCGTGTGGCTAGCAGTGCGGCAGCGCAGCCGAAGTATGGAGACGGCAGCTGGGTAAGGAAGTGATACACTACTCGTTTGCGGACCCATTCTCTCCTCTTATGGCATAGCCCGGGATCCAAGAAGTGAGTGTGCAATTTGTGTTCAAATGAAGTGCACGACCATGCTCTTCGCACCTTCGGGATATGTAGCGTGCTTATTGGACCATTCACAAAAGTTTGCCCTTTGTTCGAAGCTTTCAATCGCCTATTGTCACCACCGCAACTTGTCTACACTGGAATTTTTTGTCCTGATCTCAGGGTCCAAGCAGTTATTGCTTTTTTTGTTATGCAGATAAATGGAATCCTCACGTCATTCACATTTCTTCTACATTAACAGTTGTGACATCCAGCCACCTCAAAATAGGCATTGATAGCAAATAAGACGACAGAGTGGTGCGTCTGGATGGTACGATTGTACACCTTTATTGAAAGCATCGTGCAATAGCGTACCCATCTCTTCCAGAAGAACTATGCTGACTCAGTTATTCAATTGAAAAAGGCGAAAAAACTTTTGACGTCCTACTGGTGTTAACCTCGCTATTCAGGTCTCAATTCGGGCGTCCTCTTGCTCAAAACCAACTGATACAGCTCAAATTTGCTGACATGTTGACAGAAATAACCCTTGGACTGCAAGCCTGTTTAAGGGTTGCACGATTGAAGGTATGTACACTGAGCTTTATGATATACTGTTAGTGGTATAGTGATATGTACACCAGTTCGCTGCGGACGGTTGGGCGTGTCAGGCAGTATGAGTGTGTCACCCCGTCAAAGCCGTTCTCTGCCTTCTTGTTGAAGCGCGCATGCGACAAAAAGTGGTAGAAAACGAGTAATACGAACGATATGATACAGTCATATCATTTGCTCGCTTTAACAACTGGTGGAGAACGGGTTTGGCACCGCGCCAAACTCATCCCGCCTGACACGCCCAACCGTCCGCAGCGAACTACACTTTAATTTTCCCGTCTGATTATTCAATGAAGTGTTTAGGACGAAGGAAAAGCGACACCCGAAATGATTTCTATGATCAAACGAAACTCGTGTGGAAAGTCTTTGGATATCGCCCGAAAAGCCCGAGATATCCTCGGTGGAAATGGAATTGTCGACGAGTATCATGTCATGAGACATATGGTCAATTTGGAGACAGTAAATACGTATGAAGGTGATTTTTTTGAGCTGTGGCCCATTTATTGCGTTATGTTGAAAGGTAACTCAGCCAATTAGGGTTGGAGCGGAACCAATAGATTTCTTCTGAATCTCTATCGTCTCAGCCAGAGCACAGTTCCAAGAAAACGGGAAGGATGGAAAATTATGTAGCTTTCGTTGAACTAATTTGGAGGACGCATGTTGGCAAAGCGTAAGGCTCGGCACCCGAATCGCAGCGGGGACGCAGTAAGCGTCGCAAATAGTGTTACTGCGCGGCATTCGCACCAAGAACCAACTGAATCACCATTGGAATGATGCAGTTTATCAAACCAACTTGTTGGGAAATACTCAGTTCGCGCGCGATGCTGCTACTCCTGAGCCACACTCACAGGCGAGAGGTGCAAGTAAGTTTTCAAACTCCCACAGATCGGCCAGCGATTATCGGATGAAAGGCTGACCTGCAAGTCGGCCGCAAATCATGGGATTAGCCAAGTACGTGTCACAAAGTCTGAAAAATGTCAAATGTGTGGGGCTCATAGCAGAGCACTTCCTGCCGGAAAAGTCTTCCAATGCTGCCTCTGGAATTTTGCTCCTCTGATACGACCCACCACTTCTACAGTCCTCATCATTACGGACTGTCGGGGCGGCACAGCCGCGCTGCAATGTGACGCGACAGCGGCTGCGGCTCGGTGACGGCGAATCAGCTGATTTCCATGGAATTCGGCTGCGAATTCCCACTTTTAACTCTTCAAGCTTCGAAAGTGGAAGGTGAGTTATTTTGAACAATTTTAAATTGTACTGACTCTGAATGAATCTGAAAGAATGTAAGCCATTTGAATAAATGCCTGAAATAAGGCAAAATACAAGGAAAAGAGCATATAATCGACATAAAAATAAAGGAAATCAGAGCCAGTACAATTCAAAATTGTTCAGAATAACTCACCTTCCACTTTAGAAGCTTGAAGAGCTGAAAAAGTAGGAATTTGCAGCCGAATTCCATCGAAATCAGCTGATTCACCGTCACCGAGCCGCAGCCGCTGTGCCGCCCCGACAGTCCGTAATGATGAGGACTGTAAATCCCGTTCCCTTCTTACAATGCCACCTTTCCGGAGTTTTTCTTCCAGGATTTCCTCCACTCCCCTCTTGCTGTCATCGATGGGGCGTTGAGAGAGAGTGTTGATACACAGCGCACTTGAAAGAGGAAAAAGCGAGAAAAGTTAACAGCTGACAAAATTTTTCTCAGAGGTGAACAGACCCCATCCCTCTGAGTGAACAAATTTAAAGTACGACAGTCATTCTATTCTGATGGCTGGTATTCTCGGTTTCAAAATGGGAGCAAGTTCTTTAAACGTCCACCCCCACCCCACCTCCCCGAGGTCATTGGCACCTCCTGTTATCTCTAGCCCCTACAAGAGAATGATTTTAAATATCTTCCCATGGAACTTTGAATGGAGACCTAGTTATTTCGAGTCTCGAATGCTGATTACGAATATGCAATTAAAAGTGCTACGGGGACCTTCCCAGACGAGTTCTGGGTGGTCAAAGTTTGCGGAAGTTTTGTTTTGGCTCGTAAGCGCTGCTGATCGGTCGTCAGCAAAAATTCCTGCGCCAACGGGATGCAAACCCACGACGTTGGCTTCGAAGCGAGACCGTTACCACTAGGCCACGGTGGCACTGCCTAACGACCGATCAGCAGCGCTTACGAGCCAAAACTGAGTTTTCGCAAACTTTGACCGCCCAGAACTCGTCTGGGAGGTCCCCGTAGCACTTTTAATCTGCATATTCGTAATCAGCATTCGAGACTCTATCGATGTACCTAGGTCTCCATTCAAAGTTCCATGGGAAGTTCAAACCATTCCCTTGTTAGTGATTTCGTAAAGGAGACATAAGGTCCAACGAGTGAAAAGTGTTGAAGCTGTAAGTTCAACCAAGTGATTCGCCACTTTTTTTTGAACCTGAACAAAGGCCTTAGCCTGAAAAAGTTTTCTTGTCGTATTTGCGCCCTACAGCATACAAAAAATCCGCTCGTAAAAACCATCTTGTGTTTTCAACAAAGGGCCGTCGCAGTCGAGCCTGCTCATTGCTCAGTCATCCGATGAACTCCTATTATTGGTAGCCTTTGAGCGTTAAATGCGTGTTTTCAGGCACTCACGACATTCATGCGCTAGTTCTTGGCCGAGCCATCACAGGACTTCAAGCATTCCAGTAAACAGCCTTATGTTGCATTAGGAAGAACGCTAGCGAGCAGAATCTAGCTTGTTTTGTGTGATTTTGTTTTAACGTATGTGGTCCAGTTAACCTAATTGTTGTTCACGTTCACAATTTCTACCTTGACAATTTGGGCCTTTCAACTCGGTGATTTTCCTCGTAACCAGGTGACGATTGAGATTTGTTGTTGTGATGTTTCAAAAACAACAGAAATGAATGTTTTATTAAATTTTTACATATTAACAACGCACAGCAACGATGCTGCCATAACCTACTCTGGGAAGTGAGAGCATTTCACAACGACTCTATGAGGTCGACGAGAGTGGTACTGGGCTTGTTGACAAACGAAAGACCGAACATGATTGGCGCAGAACTCGTGGTAGCGGTTCAGAATTCGAGACGGCGCAACAACCACTGCTAGGATGCCCGACGTTATAGACGTAAAAGCAGCCGCAGACGGGAGTCGATCGGCGATGGCCGCTTGCGTCTTGAGGAGGATTACAGAAGAGTTGGCACTGCTTTCACACGATCTGGTACCCTACTGTCTCCCATACTCTCGGTTATAAGCTTCAGATGCCGATCGATTCCCGTATTGCGGCTGTGTTCGTGATTTCGCGTTCATTAGCCCCATGGAGCAAGGTTACAGCATCGGTTGTGTAACACATATAGGGGGTCATACTTTTACGCTGGGTAGGGGGTCGTATTTGGCGTTGGAGAGAAACTAGCTGTATTGGGAAAAATTTTCCCGGTTGCCGACTTTTTCCGTGATTTGCCTGTTTCATGCGTACTAATACCTCCCCCCCTCGACAGCAAAATTACTGGAGAAAGAGGAAACTTTCGATAAATTCTATAAAAAGCGCTAGGAAGGTGGGTAGGAGATTTCTCCTTTCACATGGGCTATGTACCCCTCTCCTCTCCGCTCGACTGAAAAGTTTTGGGTGAAAAACTGGACTCGGAAATGTGTTGGTAGGTAGGTGTTGGGGAAGAGGAGGAGGAGGGGTACATAGCCCATGTGAAACGAGAAACTCCGGGACTCATGACGGCGGGGAGGGGGGGGGGGTCGTACGTACACTACCATTTCACTCATCACGATGCTGTACCCTGCTTGGAGCGTTGCTGCAAATGTAGCGCGTGGTCGCGCGTCAACGCGCGGGTAACAGCCAAGGGCACCATTGAACCTGGCACAATCGCATTCGTCCAAAAAACCCGAAGGGAATAGAGACCAGTAAGCATTAAGATACTGGAATACGTTACAAACTGAGAAAAAGTGATGGATCAGAACAATTCATCTCGCAGCCAACCGTATATGCTCATTGGTGGGTCCCTCGTCTATTAAGGTACAGAGAGGACGCGCTAACGCTAATGCGTAACGCATAAGGGTGGCATGTGTCTTTAGGTCTGAAGCTCGAGACAAGCAAACTTCAATCTCGCTTTTCATATTCGAGATTCAAGCAGGTTGGCTACATAGTGGTCGTGCGTCTCGGAACGACTTCGAAACCCCTAGGAGTCGAAAATTTCAATGTCATACGTCCACCTAGTGGCCACGTTGTCCTCACGCCGATTACCAACTCATCATCGTCCTCATCTAAATGAGCATACATGGAAGAATTTCTAACAAAAAAAAATACACGGAAAATCCTCAACGAGCACGTATCATCAAGACAGTGCACAAGTAGAGTAACGATAATAAATGAGCATTGTAACATCAACAGTTGCATGGCTAAACTAAGGAGATCATATGATGACATCCCGGTACTCTGAGGAGAGATGGTATGAATAAAATAAATAATTGAAAAAAACTAAATACGGCTCTTTCAAAACAACATCATATATTGCTTTTGTAGGCAAGTTAAAACATAATGAAAGACTAGAATGTTCGAGACGAGAAATGAGACGGAATGACAATTTTGTGGATAAAATACACCCCACTACACACGGCTATACCGTGGTCATCAATTAGCACTATTTAATAAAATGACTAGAGCAATTACGCGTACCTGAGAATTCAATTCATACAATGAAATCGGTAAGGACTACGGTACAAAAGCGGTATGTGAAGGTACGCACCGGATAAGTTTAGGAAATGTTCGTTCGATCTCGGGATTATAGCGAAGTAAGTCGAGGTCGAATGAGGAGCTTTACACAGAAACAAACGGCAGAATAGAAACTGGTAGGCCATGGGCAACTAGGTAGGAGATAGCTCAGTCAACACTGAGATTCCGAAAGCGCATTCGTGGCGCCCTGGAGGAGACCGGGAGAGTCGGAATCGGTTTCGCTTCCGTCTGAAAAGGAATCGTAATATTTCAGAGATGTTCAGGAAATAGAAGGATAATTCAAAGGGATTCTTGACAAATGCTGTGGAAATGAATTCTTCTGATGGAATGGGTCACACTTGCACTCCATATCCGACGATGAGAAGGACGTGGCTGTACACTTCATCTGGCGCATGGACAAGACAATCGTAGCCGCGCTATTGAGGGTAGCGGGCGACGCAGACAGACGAGTTATCCTGCCTGACCATTTGAATCTGCATGTTCAAGAAAGGGAAAATTCGATTTCGCCCGTCATGGGGCTTTATCTCCATTGGAGTTAGCATGAGCTTCGCAGCTCCAGTGTACATTGGGAAGTTGTAGCGGACC